CATTCTAGGTGAAGATGCCAGCTGTTTTTCTGCAAAATCTGTGGAGCAGTATTATGGCTGGAACATTGGGAAAAGGAGAGCTGCTGAGGTAATCCCATGTCTGCCTCTTTGATATGCAGGCCACCACTGAGAGCCTGTTGGAGAAAATAATCAACCACATGTACATCCTGGCTGCTTCCATAAACATCGTCATATAGAGCAGTGATAAATTCTGCAGCATGTTTTGTTAAATATTTGATGGTAGAACTTTTTCCTTAGTTAAAAATCTCATTCTCCAGACTTGTAGGTAGCCTTTGAAAGACCTACTTTCTTTTCCTGCATTGCTAAAAATTTAAGTTTTTAAAGAATTGTAATATGTTAAAATTAAGTCAACTATTTATTGTTCAATGTGGCAGCTACTCTGCCAAACAGTGAAGCTATAAGAGGAAGTGGCAAGTACAAAGGCGTGCGTAGGAAACTTTGAGAAAGCCAGCGATGGGTTTGGGGAGGGCGGGAAAGTGGGAGATCACAGGCTGGGACCAGCTGAAACACCTTATAAGGCCAAGCCTAGGAATTTCAGTTATTTTATAAACATTAGGTAAAAGTTCTTCTTTTTTTTTTTAAACTGAGGAGAAACACCATCAGATTTTTTTTCTCAGAAAAAAAAATTATTCTAACAAGTTATCATGGTAATTTGCAATTGGGTGATTTATTTGAACACGCTCCTAAGTTGAAGGATTTCATTATGCACACCCCCACCCCCAATTTCTTTAAGTGGCAAAGAGCGATGACAATGCGGAAAGTCTTACAAGAAATACTGGAGAAGAATCCAAGATTTCACCACCTGACTCCACTTAAAACCAAGCACATTGCTCACTGGTGTCGCTGCCATGGCTACACCCCACCTGACCCCGAAAGCCTGAGGAGCGATGGGGACTCGATTGAGGATGTGTTGACCCAGATCGACAGTGAGCCAGGTAAGCAAGGCGGGCGGTGGGGGGTGTACTCGGCACCATCGGCAGCTGAGAGGTGTCTCCTTGGAGCACATGCTCATCTCTCAGCCTCCAGGGCTCTCAGGCCACATCAGCTCCAGCAGGTCTCAGAGCTCTTTCCTTCACCCGAGGTAAAGGGACCCGAGGACTCCAGGGGTTGCCATGGAGAACAAAAGTCATGACTTGCCTCTCACCATGTGTCCTATCCACCTCCCAGGACAGTCCCTACCAAACTGTTTGTGCCCAGGTGTCCCAGGTTGTGTCCCAGCCAGGAATGTTCCGGCCCACCGCATGCAACAGACACACACCATTCATTCAGGTGACCCCTTCCTCTGCATTAGTTCTCCTTTGGAAACTTTCTTAATCCACCTCCTTTCCTCCCAGAAGTAGTACTTCTTCCTTTGTGACCTACGAGTCTTCTTCCCTGAAGATGGGGACAATGTCTTATCTGTTATTTTATCTCTAGAAACCTAGTGTGGAGGTGCACTGCCTGGTGTTGGAGGCACAGGTGTTTACACATTAGGTGTAAACAGCTAATAATGTTGCAGATAAAATGAATTGTTTTTTTATAAAAATACAAATAACTGTATGTGGGTGGGGGTGCAGGGGAGCTGGGCATAAAGATATATGGGAGAATGTTTTTTGAGTTTCACCTTAAAGAAAAAGTATTGTTTTCTCCTTTTAACCCCATCTTTGTAGAAAAACAGACCCTTCACCTTCCAGTCTGAGGAAGGCCACAGCACAGGGATGGTCTGGGGGGTCCTTTAAGACTTAACACAAGTTTCATTTCCTCCATGAAGCTTTCCTGAGAACCCTAATGCAGGGTAGCCTCCCCTTTCCCCGATCTCCAGTGGTATTTAATACCAAAACCTTGAAGGTTTCTCAGATTTTTATTGCTAAGTGCTTTGAGAGCAGAGGCCTTGTTGATTATTTCTGTGCTTCTCTGGCAGTGTATGTAAAACTGTGTTTTTCCTGTACTGGGCTTTCATATTAATATGACTGATTAAATCTGTGAGCATCCTGCCAGTAAAACAGAGGGAGTTGGATGCTTTGCCTCCATCCTGCTGGGTGTCTTTAACCCCATGTTGACATCACTCACTTATCATAAAGTAAAAGGGATGCATAGAATATTCCTAGAGCCCCTGCTGGCTTTAAAGCTCTATATATACTCTGTTGGGCTCTGTATAAATCAGCTGAAGATGGGATGCATGGTATACACTAAAATGGTAGTAGTACTCAGCTCTAAGCAGAACATGGGTGATTTTTAATGTCTTCACTGTTAATTTCTAAATTCTCCAGGTTAAAAAAAATTTTTTTTAATCAGTGGGGTGGGAGGATGGCCTCGTTTTTAGTGGCAAGAGTCAGAATTATGTGCTGTTTGACTCAGGTTGCCCTTAATAGCACATAGGTCTTAACACAAATGCCTGGCTTGATGCTTGTCTCACTTATGAATTACTAGTTCTTATAATTATAGGTCCATGGAATTATAGAACTGGACAGGAAGTCAGATCCCTGATACTTAACCCTTCTTCTCTGGGTCTCAGGCTGTTGGCCCCTTGGAGATGCAAAGTCCCTTTTCTTTGATCACCACAGTCATAAGACTGATTACCTCTCATGTAGAGTGCCCGTCATCATTCTCGTCAGCTGACAACCTCTGCCAGAAACTGGAGGACCTGCAGCAGTTTCAGAAGAGAGAGCCGGAGAACGAGGAGGAGGTGGACATCCTCAATGTCTCAGAGCCGTTAAAGATAAACATCAAAAAAGAACAGGAAGAGAAACAGGAAGAGATGAAACTCTACCTGCCACCAACACCAGGCTCTGAATTTATTGGCGACATCACACAGAAGGTAGCGGGCTAAGGCCTGTGCTGTGGGATCCCTAACCCGGGGCTTGGTGTCTTAGAAACTGACACCAGACCTCCTGGGGAGATAGATGGTAAAGCTGGGGGAACTGTCTGGCACCTGCTTTCCCACGTCAGGGCCTTTGGGCAAGAAAGTGAATCACATGTAGAGCTTGCTCATCACATGACATTGGAGCAAAGGCAGCTTCGTATTTCTCATCTCTTTTTTTCTCATTTGCCTCAGTAGAAGCACCTTTCCTTCAGAGGCATGTCAGAACGTGCTTTCCCTGATATTGTAAATAGCTCCCAAGTGCCCTGCCAGGGAGTGGGTATGGCATTGACTCCCTTGGGGTGCAGGAGAGAAATGTCCACCCACCTCTGGTGGAACAAAACTTCACTGCAGCATCTGCATGGCTCCCTGGGACCCAAGTGAGAGACTTGTTCTTTTTATCCCCTACAGAGGAAATGGAAAATGGGGCAGTTTCCAAGTATATCTTCTTTCTTTTGCAAATAGGGCCTCAGAGTCTGATGCAGGCTTTCCAATGTGGTGTTCTCACTGTCAGAATTCATGGTAAATTCTATGTTCTCTCATGAAGGAGATTTGGGCACAAGAGAAGGATTCTAATAGCATTTTTAACAATCCCTCAGAAACATGGCACAATAGGGTAACAGATTCTTCTCTTTGTTACATTCTGTGTTACTTCTCTGTGAGTTTTGTTAAGGACATTTGTAGAGTGTCTCTTCCACCCAGAGGTCTCCTTGGGTATCAGAAATGTGCTTGTTTTTAATGTACAAATAGAAACAAAAGGCCTTCTTTTGCTCTTCCAGATTGGGATCACCCTGCAGCCTGTGGCACTGCATAAGAACGTGTATGCGTCGGTGGTAGAGGACATGCTTTTGAAGGTGGGTGCCTGTGGGCAGCAGAGGGGCTGTCAGGGGCTGAAGCACCATGGGGTCAGCTGGGCAGGACACACTGGATCCCAGGCTGCTTTGAAAAAGACAGGGACAGAAATAGAACAACAATGACAGGCTTTGTGATTTCTTTCTTCTTATTTTTAAATTAATTCAGTTTTAGTTCCTCTGTGTGTCAAAGCATCTGCAAGAGTTCCTGTGCCAGTGTCACTAACAGTATTTTTTAATGCCATTTCAAGTGCTTTCTAAGTAGCCTGAAGTGAAAGTCAAAGCTCTCAGTGCTTTCAGAGGTGACTTGCATGTCGCAGTAGAAACAGCCACAACTGTCCCAGCCCTTGGCAACAGGATGACAGAACCAGGTTCCTTACTCAGCCGGAGCCTGGCTCTGCTGTTCTTTCCTGGTGGATCCCCTCCAGGGGCAGGGATACCTCACAAATAGCCCTCACCTGTTTCCTTTATTAAAGCAGTGTCTGATTAATGAAAATCACCCCCTTCACAATTCAGAATCATGGCCTCTATAGTTGTGGTCTATTATTCAAACCTTTAGTTTTTCCTTAAGGACTTTGGGTCTTTAGATACAGTGGTTTCCCAAATTTAGGGTCTGGGATGGGGTCAGCTGCATCTTTCTGACCAGCATGCAGGTGGCATTTTTAGAGTAACAGCATTTTCTGTTATAGGCTACAGAGCAGCTGGTCAGTGACATCCTGAGACAGGCTTTGGCAGTTGGATACCAGGCAGCATCACACAACAGGTACAGTTCTCACTTCCTGACAGTTCCCATCAAGATATTTTGTACTTTAAATCAGTTCAGTAGGAGCTGGAGGTATCCATGCTTGGGACATTCTCAGAGCCCAGACTGTCTCAAAATGACCAAGCAGACCCCTGAGTCTATCTCTTGGTTGTGAGAGGTCTGTGTTGTCTCTGTCTCCGCTGCAGAGACAGTTTGGTAGGATTCTGATATGTTACAGGGTTGAATATATACCAGTTCTTTGCCATTGAAGATAATAGTGTTTCAGACTTGGGGCCAGGCACTGCACGTTACCTAATTTGTTTTTTGTTGCAGAACTCATACTCCCTAGGAAAGTGGGCTCTGAAATGTTATCTTGCCTGGCTTTCCTAGCAAATACATCAGAGAACCTAGATTTAAACTTCAATCTCATTGGCTCTATACCCACAGGCTGACCACTCCTTTGTGGCCTAATTGTCACTGACTGAGATGCTGAATTTTCCTTTTGTCCCACATCCCGGCATTTCTTTCAAAGGAAACAAATTTATTCTATTGTTTAAAGGCTGTTATAAATTTATTAAAACTTTAACAGAGTACCTGAGGTCATGAAGAGACCTAAATAAGAGGATTATTAGGTCAGACTTGACAGGGATATAACATAGTGGGCAGTATAGAGAGCTCTTTACAAAAAGTGGGGAACAAAGGAGTTCCAGTAATGTTGCTGCTGCTTGTCCTGCTAGAGATACAGGAGTGGGCCGAGTGCCTCTGCGGCCCTGCTCACCACCATGGTCCTGACTATGAAGACACAAAGCAACTTGAGTGCTTTTGATAAGAACATTTAACATCACCCAACTTGGTCTGGCATAAATTCCAAGAGATGGGAAACATGGTCCCCAAGTTCTGTGGTGCTTTGATTCAGCTAAGACTGAACTACAGCGATATTCTGTTCTCTGCTCTACTTCATTCCTTTTTTTTCAGTCTTCAAAATCTTTGTTTTCCCTTAATCTTCAGCCAACTTCTTGAAATTCATCTCATGCGTATGAGTAGGAAGTTAGATTTGAGCCCTAAATAGGGCTGGCCGGGAAGAGGATATAGGCCACATCTCCTGAGTCAAAGGAATTAATGGAAAAGAAGAGAGGTGGGGGGACAGAGGGAAAAGAGCAGCTCCCCATCCCTAGAGTGGCCCCAAGCCATGCCTGTCACTCATTATTATCCCCATATAATTAATTTAGATATTTGAGAGAATTAACATTTATTTTTTTTGGACCAGGATTCCCAAAGAAATTACAGTGAGTAATATTCACCAGGCCATTTGCAACATTCCTTTTCTGGACTTCCTCACAAACAAACACATGGGGATACTGAATGAAGATCAGTGAATGGAATGAAGATGCTCCTAGGAAAGCAGGATTCGAAGCCTGGAACTGTGATGACTCTTCTTTTCTGGAGAAGAGATAGTTTCCTGTGTGCCTCAGAGTGTCATGGCCACCAAACCATTGCCTCCACCTAATGCCACCGGAGCATTCAGTCCCAGGTCAATCCCTTTAGGACAGAAGTTTGTTTCCTGATTCTAGAGTTAAGCTGTGAGTGGATGCATGCTCTGTCAACTCGCATCTATTCACTCTGTGCAGGCTCCATCAGAGTCTGGGGTCAGGCCACTTTATATTGGGCCCTTTTGTCCTCTGGGTGGTTTCCAGGGGGTACCATGGGCCTGAGTCTCCCTCCAGGAGGTGGGAAGTGAGTCTGGCAAACTAGAGGTTCTACCCATTATGTGAGTTGGCGTTCCAGGTACCCCAACAGGTACCCTGATAACGTCTGGAGGAGGGTTGGGCTTCGGCACACAGCAGTGGCCGTGGTGGGGAGGATCCGCTGTCAACCCCAAGTCAGCTCAGGAAGCAGTGATCCTGTGCGGAAACCACACGATCTTGGGAGACCACAGACTGAGAATTCCTGTTTCATGGAACACAAGAGAGTACTGCCGCCAGTCTCAGCATTGTCGGGGGGTGAACAGAGTCCAGCACAGGTCAGGAAAAGGTTTGACTGCAGCTGGGAAGCCCTTCCTGTGTGGGTCTCAGACCCGCGCAGCGTGGAGGAGGTGCCAGCAGAGCGCCGGTTCCTGCTGTTGGCGTGGGCTGCAGGAGCTTCTGCTGAGTCCATGTTGAGTGGCCAGTGCTTCCCCCAGTCCCTCAGACAGCTCATCTCATCCAGTTCTTCTCTGTCAGTGAATTGTTCCCAAGAAGAAAAGTATTTCAAACACTGTGAGTGCCTTAAAGGTAGAGAAACGACTGTCAAAACCAGGTGACAGGGAGGTCAGTGCTCAGAAGCAGTGAGAAAGCTGGTCGTAAGCAGAGCCCCGTCCATGGGAGACAGAGTGGATAGAAGGCAGGTTAGCAGCACCCTGCACGATGTCCAGTTTCAGTATAGACACAGGACCCCAACCTTCCTAACATAGTCCGTGTGTGAGTCAAGAATCTGTTCTCAGTTAGGAATCTGCTTCACAAAGATCTGAAACCTACCCAAGTCAAAGAAACTTACCCAAGCAACGTAATTCATGTTTTCCTGAGTCCTCTAGATGTTCAATTCAGGAAAAGACAACTATGAGAAATCTGCCCTTTTTAATTCAGCATCTGAGGACTGCAAGTGCAGAAGGAAATCTATTCAGTAAGTCATCAGGCATGGTCTGGTTAAGAGTAAAATAGTTTAGTGGTGAAGACTCAGATATTCTGTACATAAAGTACTCCAGGCAAGGTTAATGGGCAGGTGTAGACTCATTTACCAGTGGACGATGACTTAGATCTACAGGATTGAAGATTTGATCCAAATGAGAACAGATTCAGTTCTTACAGGTAGGAAATCCTCAAGAAATTATCTTTTTGCAAAAGAAATAGTAAATGATTTAACAGTCCTCATATATGTTAATGTTTCAAATGTATTTGTATCATAATATGTAACATAATGTGTAACAATATCTACAGTAAATCTTTTGGTATTTGTGATGGGTTTTTCTGAGTTTGGGGGCTTCCCTGATAGCTCAGTTGGTAAAGAATCCGCCTGCAGCGTGGGAGACCTGGGTTCGATCCCTGGGTTGGGAAGAGCCCCTGGAGCAGGGAAAGGCTACCCACTCCAGTAATCTGACCTGGAGAATTCCATGGACTGTATAGTCCGTGGGTTTGCAAAGAGTCGGACACAACTGAGCAACTTGCATTTTCTGAGTTTGGAGCACTGCACTTTTGTGGGGTTTTTCTTACGTTAGGTCAGAAAGAGCTGGGACGAGGCAAAAGTGTAGGGGTTTGTGTATTTAATTCTTCCACTTCTTTCTAAAAAGAATTTGCAGCTAGTAATAAGGATTACGGTTATATAAAAATCTGAAAGAGTTTTGGAAGAATGCATGTTGGCCCTGGACATATGGTTTCTGACAGCCTAGAGTGAAAGAAAACAACCCGATTGAGCTCAGAGCCTCCTCAAAGCCAAGGCAATGAGGGAAACAGCTCCTGTTGTCCAACCAGGAAGCACACTGGTCCGTTTGGCAAGAATGGGTCCCTGCTGAGGCCTGGAAAAAGTCACTCTTATGACCTGGTCCTGCTGGGACCATCTGCTACCGTAGAAAAAACTACAGGAACTGCAGAAATATTTCATAAATGACTATTTATATCCACCCTTAATAAGAACTAAAGGCTTTGTTTTGAAAGCTCTGGTTTTTGAAAAGTAAGAAGTTCTTTGGGGAGATAGTCCAAGTATGTAGCTTTCTTAGGACCAGACTCCATTTAGTATCAGCCTTTGGGGAGTCGAATGGTCTAGAGGAAGAACAGGGGCATTGCTTAGGCCTGTTTCCTGAGTGTTCTATGTGTCAGCCACAGTTCTGACAGGAGCCACAGGACAGTGTCACAGTACCTTCTCGGGGACTCTCTCTTCCTCACCGGAGGAGCCTGTGTGTGTGGCCAGCAGAGCTCAAAGGATCCCCCGTCGGCCTGGGGTGGGCTGCACAGCCAAAGTTCTCTCAAATGCTGATTTTTTGGAGTTTGACCTAAAATCCTAGCGATATTACAAGGATGGTTAGTGTTTAGGGTTTTTCTGAGTTGGAGCCATCAGTCTTGCTCTCAGTGACTGGGGCCCTTCCCTCTGGTTGGGCCTCCTCACAGCTGATCAAGCCTGCTACTGCAGTGCTATCTTTGGTTATGGAATAATTAATTTGAACTCTTTCTGTTGGCTAAAATTACCTACCAGATTAAACTGTTTTAATTTAATACAAAAATGCGTACTGTATAGAAACTTTAGCAAATATTGTAAGATGTAAAAAATTTTAAATTACCCATAGTTCCCCTTCTCAAAGATAGCCACTATTAATATTTCAGTACGTTTTTGTCTTCATTTGTATTATTTATATGACCTACATGAGTTGGGACCACACAATTGAGGCTCTTATTATCTCAGTGGCTTCTTAAGGCCTTAACATAATGTTACTGGAGTGGCCTTATTAAGACCTAGAGTGAGTGGGAGCAAGGTTCTTCAGAATTCAGATCTAATAATTAATGAAGTCTAGTAAGGAAAGCTGTTGCATTGGGATGTTTGTGAAAAGCTGTCTGTCCTTGAGCATGCAGGATGCCTTCCTAAGGTCAGGTCTTTCTTGGGCAGTGATGGGGCTGCTAGGACAAGCTTGGGGGGTGGAGAGGCATAACTGGCTGTGCCGTGTGATGAACAGGGACTATTACTGGACCAAAGCAGCAGATGCCAGTAAAGCCGGCTCCCAGGAAGGGGTACCTGCACAGGAGAGAACACGTACAGCAGCTTACTTTGTTGGCCATTTACTGTACTGAGCACCCTGCATGGAAACCCAAGTTCTCTTAGGGGGAGGCAGGGTTTGCAAATGAGCAAACAAAAGTCTAATCTTGTTTTACCCTAGGTGGGGCTGGGGAGATGTGTTCTTGTTAAATACTACATACGACACCAGTGCAGTTATAGCCCTGGGTGAGCATTCCCAGAATCTACACACCTCCAAGGGAGTGCAGCGGTAGCCAAGGCACATTAAAGTCCTGTTACCAAGAGGAGGATAAAGGAAGACATGAGAAGGCATTCGTGTTTATAATTAAATAAATAAACTAACAAGAAATTGAAATAGACATTTGCATTTTAGTAAAATATGAGATTGTACAGTTAATCTGTTTGCTTCTCACAGAAGGCCCAGCAGGCAGTCTCTTTTCCCTTAGGAACATCTAACATGCAAACCAATGAAGTCTGAAATAATAGAACCCTTTGTGTAAGCATATGGTTTTGCTTTCCATTTTAAATGATTCTCTCAGATCATTTCCTTTGCTGGAACGAGGGGAAAGGCTGTGCCTGCCAGAGCTGGGAGCTAGCACCTCTGAGGGGACGGCCCCCTCGCAGCCTGAGCGGGAAACACGGCCCCACCTCCACTCTGAGCTGCTTCTGAAACCTGAACGCCACCTCCTGTGGCAAAAGTAAAGGCTCACCAGGCTAAGTCACTTGGGAGCTGGAGAGGGATAAAAATCCAAAGGGAAATCCTTGAGTTTTCTTACGAAACCTGTCCTTAGGTTGTGCCTGTAATCTCTAAAAGGACACAAACGTTTCAAGGGCTGCTTGCAAAGAGGAGAGCCGCTGGTTCCAGGTGGCTGCACCTGCTGGATTTTATCGATAAAGTCAGCAGAAGGACTTCAAAACCAAAATGAGCTTGTTCCTCGGCAGCTAGTGAGCTCCCTGTAATGAGATGACATTTTAAGGCCTTTTTGGCCACCCTTGCCCCAAAGACATTCCCAGTTCTTAGTACGTAGTAGTTCCCATCTAGTCATCAGTACACTAAGGGAACGAAACTGGTGTTAGTATACAACGTGGGGCTCAGAAACCAACAAGATAAATGTCCTTCACTCAGCACTTCATTCATCCCAAGAAATGTTTTGTTAAAACCAGGGTCATCTTGGCCATAAAGAAATTATGTTTTTAAAAAAGAAACTATGATTGATACTCTTCTGTTCCTTTGGGAAACTTGTTCCTGGTTACTTAGCATTATCATGAATCACATGCAGGTGATAACCTAAGATTTCTTCTACAACCTGTGAGGGGCCGCTGGTGGGACTATCCAAGGACATTACCTTGAGTTACCATAGGTTATAAAATTATCATACAGCCTGGACGTTACTGGATCTTTCAAGGATCTGTTATGTCCATACTCCTCAACCCCCAGAGACCAATTCAGTTCACAGTAGAATTGATCAAGGTCTTCAGATTTAAAAACTGAAGAGCGCCCTAAAGAGGCAATTAAGAAAAGATCTGAAGCGTTCCGCACACTTCCCAAGGAAGGAGAGGGTGGCAGGGGCCCAGCGCTGAACTGGGCGGCACCTCTGTCCTGCTCGCAGCACCGTGTGGCTTGCGGAGGCGTGGCGCCCCTGACAGGGCCGTCCCGTCCTGAGGTCTCACCGCAGTCCCCGGGGGTGGGTTCTGATCCCCGTGGCTCACTCTTCTGTGGGCAGTCACACGTTGAGGATCCGGGGAGCCGAGGCCTGAAAGATGGCTGAGGGGTTAGGGGCAAACTTTTTCCTCACCTCAGGGGCCTGAAAAATGAAATTTTGCCACAGATCAGTGGAGCTCTTCCTCAAGTTTCCCTGTCCCAGCAGCTCCAGACTGCTAACCTGAAGGGTCGGGGTGTCCACATGGACAAGCCTTCGGGTTGAGTCAGAAACTGAACAGCCCGATACCTCCCTCCCAGCCCCTCCTCTCCTATGGACTCAGGGACGTGGAAGGCTTGCACTAAGCAAGTAAGTGGTCAAAGGTAAGGCTGGGATTTAGGAGGGAGGCAACACCCTGCTCCCAGAGAAGCCAGTGCTCAGGGAACACACGTGGCTAACAACAAAGCAGCACCTTGGCTTTCAGTTTCTGAGCGATGGTTACGGGGGTTCAGAAGCCACTGCCCCTGCCACAGTGCCATCCGACACCATCCACAGCTGACACCTAGTCCCTAACCTGGACAGAAAAGCCGCTGTTCTCACACCCCCCGCAGCCAGGCACCAGCTTTCCTCTGACCTGGAAACCGGGCCTGGGGCTGCCGTCCCATCCAGAGCTGTGGGTTGTGATGACTTTGGCGGGCTTCACCTTCGTGGATCTTGATGGCTTCACTCCAGTCCAGGCCTGGAATTCCTGTCTGGAACAGAACACATCACAGCCTTGCACAGGGCCGGCTGTCTCTCGGGCCTCGGCTCTTGCCCTGTGTTCTGGAACGTTCCTGGCCAGTGTCCACTGCTGAGCTGCTGCTCTGGCTGCAGATGCTACTTTCTCACAGAGGCAGAACTAGCAGAGGAAGTGGACCCCAAACAGCTCCACCAGAAACTTTCTCCCACATTGCCAGGGAGCAACAGGCACGCGCCGCACTGGGAGTGAGCAGAGAACTCGGGCAACAGCAGCATCCTGTTTGTCCTAAACCGTGAGAGCCTGGTGAGTGCTGGGCCTCGGAGACGACACGTTCCCGCCCTGCTCTCCGGGCTCCCTGCACTGTCTCTGGCCCACTTCAAGGGGCCCTAGAAGCCCAGAACCAGCGAGTCGCTAACCTCCAGCCCATGTCACTGGTGGCCCTTACGTCCAGGGAGGGGCCGGCCTGGACTGTGCACAAGGCATGGTCATCCCTGGTTACAACTGAGGAGGAAGATGAGGCCCAGTTTAGTTTAGTTCTCTATGACCTGTCTTATTAACTCCTGCAAAAGAGTAAATCATAGTGACCATCTCAAGAAAGTAAAGACCACCTGGCTCTTGCATGGCGCTGTGCACGTGGGCACTCATGCACGGGAGCAGGGAGGGATGGTGGTCTACATGGGGGTAGGGGCTGCTGGCTGCTTGGAGGGAAGTGACAAGGCTGGCACAGCCTAGCTCCATGTGCTCAGAGTTGCATTCTTTTGACAAAAACTAATTCCTCTTAGAATTGAAATAGGTTTTTTTTTATCAACTCCCCTACTAAATAGCTGAGACCTCCTGTGCCCACAGGAGCCCCTGGCCAAGGGGAAAAGTGTCCAGCTGGCCAGGGGCAGCACCCACATGTGGGCTGGGTCCGTGCCTATCATCCCCTCCACGGCCCTGGCCAGGTTTCAGGCCCTGAGGTCAACAAAGCAGCCTTTTCTCCTTAGCTGCGGCACAGCTGGGCTCCACTGGGCAGGCCCCGTGTGCGTGGTACAGCTGTGTCTGTCCACGGTCAGCACTTGGGTACTAGGAAGAGAATCAGACCAAGGCTTTGTCGGATCACTTTTGCTTCCAATGCTGCAAGGTTTCACAGACCAGCTGTCTGCGCCATCTGCTGCTCTGCGTCTCTCAGGGAAGCAGGTCCTCCCCTGGGCGTGCCCTTCTGTCCCCACGCTGAGCTGAGCCTTGGGTCAGGCAGCCCAAGCCAGCTGCCCCAGGGTGGCTAGAGCAGTCCCCATGACTTTGTGGGGCAGGAGATAATAAAAATACAGGACTAACTTGAACTGCGCCTCCCTCACCAAGCAATTTCCACCATCATCCACCTCATGTGAGCCTCAGCTGGACTCAATGGCCACAGTCCTTCCCGCTGAGGGGCAGGGGGCTACCAGGGCATTGCAGAGAACCCAGTATGAGGATACTGGGGCCTGGTTCTCAGCCCAACAGGACTTCAAACAAATCCCTTAACTTCCCTAAGCCTTCAAGGTGGGCACTTGAAAAAGTGGCAGTCAAGTCTGGCACTTTGACGGTTAGCCCTTTAACTGACTCACCAAGGAAAGACAGAGATGACAGGAAGGAGAACTGCCAGAAGTGGGCAGAGCTAGAACCTGGGCCCGAAGTGCTGATACACACACACACAATTCTGGAGAGAAGGCTCTGGGAGGGGCTGGCAGGGGGCAGGTCTCACTGCCCACCTGGCCAAGCGAGTGAGGCAGGTCAGTTCTCATCTGGAGACCAGGGGCCAGGTGAGGTGAGACCTGCTGGGGTGGAGAGGAGCAGCTTGAGCAGTACTCAAGGAGTACTCTTGATATCTTGGGGCTCTCATGATCTGTTCATTATCTTTGTGAATTTATTTAAATGGTTTTCTTAGGTAACATGCATCTTGCAAGAAGGCAGGCGGGATGGAGTTGCTCATACCAGTAGTAGAGCTGGGAGGTAGAGGGTCTCAGAAGTCAGTCTGCAGGGTCAGGAGAGCCAGGTTCAGCAGCAGTCCTGTGTCTCTGCCAGGTGACCCAGGCAAGGCAAGCTCTTACTATTTGTGCTTTACAGATGAGGAAAGGGTCAGAGGGACCAAGTGACCCAAGTTTATACACCTTTATACAAAGGAGAGCTCTAGTGAGTTCCAACTTTTGCCCAACCACTGCCAGACACAGGTCAAGCAACTATCTAATTCAGAGGCAGCATCTTAGGGGATGGCAGCCTGTTTGGGGGCACAAATTTGATCTAGGGCAAGAAACACTTGAACTCCACTCTGTTCTACATGACCTCTTGCCAGAGCCTCATCTATAGAATGGGGACAGCAAGAACTGAAGTGATTTCATGGGGTTATTGTGAATTGTGAAGTCTTGGGGAGATAAATCTATGGGATGTCCTAAGCCTGAGGTCTGCTACGTGCTAAGCAGTACCTTTAGTATCACAGGAACTGGAAGGACCCAGCAGGACATTCAAACCCGCCATCTGTTTAACGGGTGAGGGACTGCTTCTGAAAGTTCAGCCTTTGCTTGGACACTCCCAGTGAGCAAGGAGCTCAGCACCATGCAAGCTTACTCATCTCAGTCAGTTCTAATTATTAGAAAGTGCGTCCTTCCCAGAGCCGAAGCTATCTCCCTGCAAGCTCCGCCCCCCCCCCCCCCCATACCTGGAACATCAGCCATGTGAAGGCATGGCACACCCAGGACCTCTGGCCTTCCAGGCCTGTCACCGGTCAGCTCCTTCCAGCTGGTCCGGGCCAAGGCCCCGTCATGCAGCAGTCAGCACCTTCCACCGCCTGACTGGGGCACCAGTGCTACAGCTCAGTGCTCTGCCCCTCACATTCCCAGCTCCATTTCTTCAGCTCGGCTTGAGCACAAGACCACCCTGCAACACCCACTCCTCATTAAGTTCCTTAAAACCTGCATGCCCGCTAAGGAATCCCTGAGGAGATGGGATGTTCTAGTGTCTGGATCTTGGTGGTGATGTTCAGGTGTATACAAAAATCATCCATCTGATAGATTTTACTAGATGGAAATTATACCTCAAAACAGTTGATTATCTTTTCCCCTCCCCCAAAACAGTTGACTTTAAAAGTAATTAAGTTGAAGGGGAAAGTTCATACCTTTTGGCCCTTAATTCGACAGGTATGAATTCATATTGAAGAAATTAGGGTATAAGCAAAGATTTAACTGTAAGAATGATGATCTTATAAGTTATTTTTTCCTCTAAATTTTTTTTGTTGCTAAAGGTAATACATGTACACTTTCTTTTTCTTTTAAGCAGTGATTCAGGGAATTCCCTAGTGGTCCAGTAGTTAGGACTCCTCGTCTCCACTGCAGGGGGCATGAGTTTGATCCCTGGTCGGGGAACTAAGATCCTGCAAGCTGCATGGCACGACCAAAAGAAACCCCCCCAAAACAAAGCAGTGGTTCAAAAGAGCAGAGTGAAAAGTCCCTCAGGCTCCATCTACTCCAAGCAGCATCTACAACTCCTTTTCCTTCTTCCTTTCCCTAAAGGTTACGATTTTCTCACACATCCATGCAGAGACATTTTACGCTTATTTCAGCAGATATGTATACATCAATAACCCTTTAACAACACAGATAGTAGCAGACATACTGTTCTGCATCTTTTTTGACATTTTCTGTTTTAGCCCCTTCTATGGCAGAGCTATAATTAACCGGTCCCATACATCAGTAGAACAATGACATTGTTTCCATCTTCTGTACATTGTTGACATGTACCTTATTACTCCTTAACTCCCACCTCATGTTCAAGGTTACATGTAGTGAAATTTTCTCTATGTGCAGTAACTAGATCAAAGAATAGTGTTTTTAATAGCCCCAAATTAGCAACACCCTAAATATTTAATGACAGAATAGGGTAATATTTGGAGGTACATATCAATATATGGGTAAAGTATTCATATACCCATATTAATATACCCATAAGAGAAAACACTACACATCCATTAAAACTCATGCTGTAGAAGAGCATCCAGTAACAGGGACCAACAGCCACATAACATGAAACAAAAAATGTAGTTACAAATCTAGCCATGTAAGAATTACAAATGGATATGCCCTCAAATGCATGTTAAGGATTTGAAAGAACTACCAGTTTGGGGTAGGATTGAGGGATACTAATTTTTTATGTTGTAATTTCCAGTTCTTCTACAGTGACTATGTCTCACTGTTGTAGTAAGAAGAGAGCGCCCTCATCCATGAGAGGAGCACAGGCCTGTCAGTGAGAGCCAAGTCAGCCGCCCTCAGTGGGATCTTGAGGGGACCACCCAGAAGCCTTGCATCTGGTCCTCACCACCAAAGGCCCCGGAGGGCCCTGGCAGCTGGCCCACGAGCGCTCCTTCCATGGCTGGGCCCTTCTGACGGAAATTAAGATTTTAACTCCAACGAAGGCAGGCCTTTCTGACAGGACTGCCCCAGAGAGTGAGGTGGTGAGCTCACCGTCAGGGAGGTGCTTGCTCTGACTCCAAGTCTGGTCAGAGAGCATCAATGGACAGTCAAAGGGGTGACCTCACAGGCTGCCTGAAGCTCTCGAAGTGGGGTGGGATGGGGGATCCGGGTGCCTCCTCGCTCCTGCCCACCTGGTCCTCCTGACTCCGCGGTTCAGTCTCCTGGGACCACGGGGTCTGGGTAGGATGCGCTCCCCTGCCCCCAGCCTCATACCTGTACGATGTGGTCGCCACTGCAGCCGTATCCGCGTCGCCGATGGGGAGCACGTAGACCCCCCGGCAGTGGGGTGCGGAGGTCTTGGCCCTGCGGCTGCTTGCTCCCTGTCCGCGCCCCTGCGTTGCATCTCTGGACCCCGCGGGCGCCGTCCACACGCCGAAGTCCCGCTGGTACTGAGTGAGCGGCACGTCCCGGCTGGGGTCCCGGGCGCCTGCGGGAGAGGGTCCTCTGCGCGAGGGAGCAACGCCCGGGATTGGCTCCTCGCTCTCGAGGTCCGAGTAGTTGTGTAGGGTCAGCGGCACGGCCACGTCGGAGCGGTCCAGCTGGTTCCAGCGCCGCGCCAGGCAGCAGAGGCGGCTGATGCAGGGCCACGCCATGCCAGCCCGGCGTCTGCCGCTCGGCTCCCCGCGCTCCCGGGCCGCGCCACCCGCCGCCTGCGGCCCCGCCCCCACAGCCCTCCCCGCGCCGCCGCAGCCCCGCCCCCTGGCCTGGGGACTGCCACCCAGGGAGCGAGGGCTGGGCCGCAGAGCTGGAGGGGTGCAGAAGCGGGGCTGGGGCTGGAGGAACTGAAACCAGCTGGAGGCACTTTCCGACTTGAATAATGTTCCCTAATTTAATCCAAAGTTCCCCAAGTGCTATCCTACAAATTGAACCTGGGTTCGCAGAGGCCAGGGGCCGGATGGCAAACACTCCTAGCTGGTACTGAGTGAACAGTGTGCTGGGCCCCCGCCCACAGGCTGCCAGATTTGTGCGAGGCACACTTGGAGCTTGCGGGGAAGCACGAGAAGATGTAGCGATGAGGGGATGAGAGAGGACTTACGGCTGTACTTCCCGGAGAACACGCGTTTGAATCAGCCTTTATGATACCAAACTCGTGACAACCAATTCAGCCTTCCACTGAGAATTGACATTAGCCCTCAACTGACGTTTCCTGAGGTCTAAAATCCCTAATTTTAAAGCATGGCTCCAAAGGCTTGATTTAGCTTTATAAAACTGCCACAAATCTTTGGCTGCTATGCTATAAAAGTTCCTCTCCCTCCTATGCAGAGCTAAGGTAATCCTCCAGGCTAAAGGTCAGTCTGTTTCAGACATGACAGGGTATCAGACCATCCCTGGCCACACCAGCCTTCCTAAATTGACACAAGCCCTCAGTGTGCACTGCACACCAGTTACTAGTAACTATGGAAACAACATTAATTACCCAGTGCACCATCTCAAGCATATACCTGGACGGTATCCAGCCTGCACCTCAGAGGAAGAACTGCAGTACAGCCCTGGCCAGTCAAGAGAGACTCCTCTCCTAAACCATTGCATTGCCAGTCTTAGCTCGAAGGCACAGTGATGTGACACGACGACTGCCAGAAGTGGCAGCAGTTCGGCTGCCTGGGCCAGGCCATGACCTGAGGCAGCAGCAGAGCGGCCCTGCGTTCTGTGAAGACACTGGGAGACCTGCTCAGATCACCCACCTGCTCTGTGTGACCTCCATGCACCACGGCCGTGGGTCAGCCACTCGGGAGACTCGTGACTAAAACACTCCATCCTGCGGGAGAAAAAAATAGAGAAGCTCTTCTTGTTTTGATTCCTTCATTAATTAAACAGTTAAAGAGCACTTACTATTGCTGTGTACCTGGAATAATGCCAGATGCCTTCAGGAGGTTTACAGAGCAGTGGGTGACAAGACATGGAAACCAGTATAACAGCTTTCCAACAGCGGAAAGAGGGCCAGGGGCCTGGACTCACCACCTGTAGTGAGGGTGGACAGTAGGACTGGGTGGGAATGCAGGGGTCAAGGCCCAAGGGTTCAGCCACAGGTAGTAAGGGCTGAATCACAGAGGGCCTTGGAAGCCATACTAGAGTTCAGAAGCAGTTTTTCATAGGCGACAACAGGAAATGACTAGAGTGTTTTCAGAACTCTGTGGCCATATGGAGAAGTACAGGACATTTTAGAGAGCAGCTGGAGAAGAGTCTTTACAGTCAGGTTAGGGACAAGGGACTGGGACTTAACGCACAGGTGCCGAGAGTGGAGAGAAGGGGCTGGATTCTAAACAAGAGGTGAGAGAGGGAATCTAGAATGGCCCAAGTTTCTGGCTTAAGCCAGGAGTGACATCTGACATGCCTGCACAGTGACATCCAGGACCTAGGTACAGAGTGACACAGCTCAGAAGACAACTTAACGGAGATAACTGAAGCGGCAGAAGTGGAGAGGAGAGAGAGAGCTAAGGCTGCACTTCTGGGACCCCACACTGCAGAAGGCAGCAGAGGTAGCACAGGCTGAGGCACATGAGCCAGGCGGAGCATGGCCTTGGGGTGATCACAGGTCGGCAAAGAAGCCAAGATGAGGAAGTAAAGTACCTCAGCAGGCAAACAGGAGAGCAGGAACAGTTGCCAGAGCTTTGGACAGTTAGGCTTGTGCTTCTGGAGCTGGACACTGACCTTCAAGGCCTCTCATAGGTCATACTTGACCTTCTAAACATTCCTTCTCCGACCATCACAAATCAGAAAGAGGAGACATGTCTTCATTGCCTGCCCTTCAGGTCTGCCCACAGACATGAATCTCATTTTGGACTCCATATGGAAGGTCCATATGATCTCAGCCTCCCATCCCATCTCTGAAAAACATTTCTTGCCTCATCTGTAAGTCACAGGGTTGTTAGTATTAGCTACATATTCAAAAAGGTCAAGGCACAGCAGTGTGACCTTGGGCGGTTCCTGCACACAACTACCCTGGCTCCTTACTGGCAGGATGAGGGCTAGGTTAAAAAAATTCTCTTGCCTTGAAGTGACATTAGTTTAGAATAGAATCCCCTGCCTGGTAAGAATGACCAGTACTTCACAGTAGGGAAGAGTCTGGGCTGGTGGGGAAAAGATGAAGAACCACCAGCTGAACAATTCCTAGGTGCTGGGCACATACTGCCATTTAGCTCTTAACATCGTGTGAGGTGGGCACCGCTTCCTCTGATTATCATGAAACCCAACACTCAGTGCCACCATCGCACAAGCCCGGCCCTCTACAGCACAAGGTGCAAAATTTGGCATAACCTTCTGAGATCACCAAAAGACCCAAAAACTCCCCTATAAATCCTTTCAAGAAAAACGTTTAAATTCTCAAACTGCATTTCCTAGAAATTATTCTCAATCATGAGAAGCTGTTCTACTACAGTGAAACTACGACAACAACCCCTGTCTGCTAAGTCAGTAAGATGCTCCACTTCAAAGAATGTACATTTTCCAATATAAGATGTAATTAGGCTCAGATTCAAGTTTGAATTTATCCAAAATACTTCCTTCTAATTCTTAATCTAGCTATAATTTTAACCTATAAAGCAAAACCTAAAAATAGCTTTTTGTATAAGACACTCACTGCCACAAAGTATTACCTACCTTTCTTGGGAAAAATTTAGAAAATATTGCAGCTGTTATTTCAGACCATGCCAGAGAGAAGATGTTCTTAATTTTTACCTGCCAACCAAGCGAGGAAAGGGGTAGGTAAGTAAGAGTAAATGTTTAGCAGAGGTGCCAGAAGGCCAACATTAAAACCAAGCACTTCTGACCTTTCCACGTGCACACTCCTCAGGTCCAGGCGCATGTTAAACAGAACAACAAACAGCAAGATTCCAGGCCAGCACTAGTGCTCTTCAAAAGAGACACACACCCTCTGTTTACAAACTATAGAGATATAAACCTTTATTTCACAACTTTGTCATAATTCACTTTCTAATGAGACATGTTCTGGGGACAGTTTAAAATACTGGGAAAGCTAGATGCTGAGTATCTTCCAGGCAGGAGCAAAGATGTGGTCACTCCAGGGCCGCCGCATTCCTGAGCCTTCAGGCAGCACAGACCAGACGCGCCAGTATTGTCCAGCCCCAGTTACTTAGGGCCACCTCCTTTTTTGGGGCTGTTAGTCCTCATTTCATGCCAAATTTTCACTAGAGGCTCCCTGTTCTTCCAAATGAGTTCATGACCGTAAGTAATATACCATCTGGGGAGAAGAAGAACAAACCAGGTCCAAAATTCAAACAGTATGACATACAAATAACAAGAACCATGATGATACCAAGTTGACATTTTAAAAACTGAATGCCATTGTCACTTACTATCCAACATATTTAAATAGTTGATTACTTAACGTAGATCAATGACTTACCTTTAATATACAGACTATATAAAAGATGGAAGTAGAATGGAACCAAACGTGACTGCTCCAAAAGTACCACACACATACTACTTTTAATTCACCACAACGCTGCAACAAATACTATCACTTTTCCCATTTACAAACTGAAGAAACCGAGTTTGAAAGAAAGTCATTTGCCCAAGTGCTACCAGCTTCTAAGTGGTCAATCAAGGACTCACTCACAGGTCAGACTGATTCTAAATCTGGACTCTTTTTATTATGTCAAGTGTAAGAAATGTCAAGAGTTACAATTTACTAATAATGATGGCTATACCAATTTACATGCCCCTCATCAACTTCTGCCTGGCTATATAAAAGGATCCAAATTCTGCCAGCTCCCATCCCCATTTTCCTGTTAAATGACACCTTTTAAAAGCAGCCTGAAGCAATGAGCTGAGGAAGCTCAAACACCGAGAGGTGTAGCAACTGAACCTGCTCAGGCTACACAAGCAGGAAGCACCAGACCTGAGACTAGGACCCAAATCTGGCTCTGTAACCTGTGCTCTGACCACGGGGCTATACCTCAGCATCTAGGGAGCACCTGCTTAAGCTGAGGAACACAGAGGGAGTGACAACTGAGATGCCCACAGGCCCAGGGTCTGCACGACCAAGCCCCTGACCTGAGGGCAGCATAGGCTGTGTGGGGCACACACAGGCACCTGCCTCCCCTCACGGGTGGCAGGAAGGTGTGGAGAGGGGATTGATTTGGAATGGCCATGATTAAAAGCTTTTGTTATTGAAACTATTATTTTTGCCCTGGCTCCCCCAAATTTCATTCCCTGGGGCAAAAACCAGATTTTGTTGATCTTTCCATCTCAGTCACCCAACAGGGAAAAATGCTGTATTCAATTTAGTATCAGAATAGCAGTTTACTGTTTTAACATTTTTTTTAATGTTTGGAACATCTATTTTTTTTTATTATTACAAAGGGCTTAAACTGTACCTGAACCTTAATACTCATTAAATATAGTTAAAATTTAATCATGAAAACACATAGTCACCATTAAAATTCTGAAAAATAATCAGCAAATTTACAGAAAGAAAAAGGTGCTTTAAAAATATACAAATTAATTAATAGGCATGTAACAAAATTATTTTCGGTTTAGTGTGAAGTCCTCTGGTGAACTTAAAACAAGAGAAAGAAGACCACCCTAAGATTCAAATGCAATTATAAAACTCTTACAAGAAACAAAACACTTATCAGGACTTTCCATTAATAAAGTTGTCTTCTCAAATCATTTTAACCTTATTTCAAGCAAAGAGTCAAATACTTTATAAATCTTATGGGTACATTGTTTAGATTATACTCGTAAGTTCCAATGTAACTGGTCATTTGGTTAAACTAAAATTAGGAAAGTATTTCTAACTAACTTCTGCCTCTTTTTGGCAGCAGTCTCACAGTCTAGTGCTCAGTCTGAAACTCCAGCTCTGCAACGACTTGCTGTGTGACCCTGGACAATTCCTCCTTTCAGTAGCTTCCTTTCTTAAAGCTGGAATATCTCACAGGATTTTAAGAGTATTAAATTAGACCTTCGCTTAGGCACACAGCAAATATTCAATATACATTAGCTATCATTACTGTAGCAGTACAAGGTGAAGACCATAAAATGTGCTCCAGAGACATAAAGTCAAAGAAATGTGTAGAAGGTTACTAATAGAATCTGTCCCATTTTGTAAATATTTCTCAATCTAGATTAAAGATGCCAGAAAAGATGAATTGTGGATATGACTGAGATCGAGTAAATGAAAGGAGCTGAAATTAGAAACAGCAAAAAGAAAGGATTCCTCTGCCTTTCAGATCCTGGACTTTAAAATGCACATGATCCAGTTTTCAGAACAGAAAAAGGTCACCTAATTATACTTGAGAAAAATAAAAAATTGCTGAGGAAAAGCTCCTTTAAGTATACATTTAAGTATACAGGTAAATTTAGAGTTCATAAAACAGAACCCCTCTCATCACTTTATGTTTCTCATACTGTAATATCAGGTCAGTTTCTACTATTTATAATGTGCTGCTGTTAAAGCTCGAACTTACACATGCTATTCTTTAATCACCACTGAAAATTATAAATGGCATAATGGCATTTAGTTCCACCGCCTACTGGGCAAAACTGCTCCACTAAGAATAGATTTTTCTATTTTTTTAAATTAAAAAAAAAAGCTAAGTTTTCCCATTGTCGTGAAATAAAGTAAAAATCAAATAAAGGCCAAAGGTAACATTTATGCAACAAAACAGGGGCCGTCATGGATCCAGCACACCAGACAGACAACAGGTCTGCAAAAGGGCCTCTCATCTGTCTGAAGTTCTATGGTGGCGTCGCTACAGCACTGCCATGTTCTAGGCCTGAACCACAAGACAACTGTAATCACTATGGTGTGACGGGCGGGAAGGCTTTGGATCTGGGTACAGACGCTCAGTAAGCAGTCAACGCTCACGGATGACGTCTGGCCTCTACTCCAGTCATGCTGTGGGCACCAGCACACTCGCCGCAGTAGGAGGACCAGAACTGTGACAGGTCATGAGCTGGGGTGATACGAGGTTAAGGGTAGGGTAAAGGCACAAATGACCAAAGCAGAGAAGGGCCAAGAGGCCCCCATTCCCATCGCACATGTGAAGTGGCTCAAGACCAAAGCAAACCACACTGCGATTTCCTTGCCCTCGCAACACTACCTGCCCTGCTTCCATACCTGAACTGCCTTACTCTACTCTGCCTTCTTCAGGGGTAGGGAAGGAGAGGACCTGAGAAATGTGTCAGTCAGTCATACTCAGACTTACATTCCAAAGAGAGCTCCCCCGAGATGTGCTGCATGATCAAAAAATTTCCATCCCAGGATCATTCCTGCTGTATCCATGGCAATAATGGCTTTTAGGGCCTGAAAGCCAGAAGAGAGAACAGAACTGATACAACTTTGATTGTTCCAGCATTGACATTTCTAATTTAAGGGCAAGAATTCAGTCAATGTAAAAATATCACCCTGTCCCTAGCACTTCACGTCATAAAAATACTCACATTCCCTGCTGTGAACGTGAACATTGGAAGGAAGATGATGGCGAGTCTCCCTTCCGGGATCTTAGTGCAGACGGCTGCAAGGACAGTCATGATTGCACCAGACTGCAAACCAACACATAGGGGAAAATGTGAAACTCTCACTGTGCAACAGTTTAGGACTACAAAGTCTAAAGCAGAAATACTTCTTCCAGAACACTTATAAGCCATACATGTCTAGGGGAGCACATAGTTAAACAGCTTTCCATTACTAATGTACAAAATAACAAGCAAAAGGGCTCCAAGTCCATGATACAGCAACCACCCGGCAAGGACTAAACTACAGGCAGTAAGATGGAACAACCAGCGTGTCGGCACTTGACAAACTTCAGGAACAGTGTTACGTGTGTCACATGCATCACCGTATTTAGCGACTAAAAATGGACTTCTCAAACCTCAACAGAACTCCTTCAATCAGCGAGTGAGCATGAATTCTCCCAAATACTCACGTGTGTGAAATTCCTCCCAAATTTAATGCTTTATCATAACTCATGTGAACTTTGTATCCTACTTCATAACAACACTAAATATTTTCCTTAAAAGAATTTGACAAATGTTCTGCTCTAGGAAAGCATGCCAAATTTATCCCATGGCTCTCCATGACCCACCCCTCACAGAATCCTCCCAGGGACACACATGCATCTGCCTGCTTGAGAAGCACTTTCCTTCATAACCTTGTATCTCAGAATAAAAATAATCGAAACTTCACAACCTTATGACAAGTAAGTCAACCATCTCTTGTTATAACTTAAATTACAATCGCTATACAGTTTTATCATCTATTGTGTTTTTCCACACTGCTACAAATCTTCATAATTTAAATTGATGATGGCTATGAAATACCTGCTGGATAAATTATGATAATTTAACTAAACTTTCTTAATGTCACACACGTTCTCAATTTCTCTGGATGGTACAATAACTGAGAAACTGGATCATAATCCCTTGTTTACATTAATCTCAAGATCATGATTCATTCAAACAGTTGGGCCCTATGCTAGATGCTGAGGATACAGAGGGAATAAAGTCAACAACTCCTGCCTTAATGGAGCTGACAGATTGGCATGAAAGACTAAAACAAGTAAAAGCAACAAAGTATGATCAGCTATGATGGGAAGTTTGGCAACTGCCAAACTTTTCAAAGTGGTATTAGTGTTTTACTCTATCAGCATTATATGAGATTTCTAGTTTCTCCATGTCCTCCTCACCAGCACCTTAAGACTGATCTTCTTCGAGATATAATGATATCTCAGTATGGTTTTTATTTTCCTTTTCCTAATGACTAATGACGTTCATCTTTTCATGTGGTTATTTGCTATTCATATATCTTCTTCGAAGCATCTGTTCAAACTTTTGTCCATTCTATAATTTCTTTATATAGTCTGACACACATCTTTTATCAGATTTCTGACAGGCAAATATTTTCTTTTAGCATGTTATCTTATCTTTTAACACTGCTTTGGAAGAGTGGAAATTTTTAGCTTACATGAAGCCTGATCATCATTTGTTTTCTTATGGGTCCTGCTTTGTGGCGTCTCAACTATGAAGTCTTTGTCTAATGTAAGATCACAATGAGTTTTTTCTGATGTTTTCGTCTATAAGTTTTTATCTTAGGTTTTACATTAAGGTCTGTGTTTCACTTGAAAGAAAACTTCAAAATACTCCTGAACTAGATTTAATTTTTAACATTCTGCCACATTTCACTTATTTTCTCTCTATACAATACTTTTTTATCCTGAAACATTTGAGTAGGTGGCA